GGTGGTGGTGGTGGTTATGTGCTGTGGAGTCAGTTCCAACTCATAGCGACCCTGTCTAGGGTTTCTGAGGCTATAAATCTTTATAGGAGCAGAAAGCCTCATCTTTTTCTTTTGGAACAGCTGGTAGTTTTGAACTGCTGACCTTGAGGTGAGCAGCCCGACTCCTAACCACGTCGCTCCCTGTGAACTGTTGTGGTTGGTGATAAACAGCAGTTATGGTAGGCTTCTCCCCTGTGGAACAGGATTAAGGAAACCAGGAGATGAAGATGTCCAGGCATCCTGACACTAGCCGAGGTGAAAGGCCAGTTCTAGGGCTGAAGGACCAGAGGAGGACGTGGTGTTTCTGGACCTCAGTGACGTCCAGGCACAAAGGAAGCAGCTTTGCCAGGACACATGTTCAGAGCAGGAGAAAATGGGGAGAATGTATCAACTGCTTTCTCCTCAGCACTACTCGTCTGCTGTGTCACTTGTGGATGCAATCCAATCACAGACCATCTGGCAGGCGATAGGTAGAGTTAGCCCCCTACGGCTCAGAGCAGGCAGAGGAAGGGCAGAGGTAGGTTGGGGAGGGGGCATGAGCAAATGGAGAACAATCGGCACTCTTGGGTTCACTCCTCTTGAGATCAAGATTGTCGTTTGGATTTTATAGACGAGGAAACCAAGACTCAAGTGACTTTCTGTAGTCTCCTTGGCTATTTAAGCAGAGCTAGTCTTGGACTCCTGGTGTGGCACTGTAGAATCAACCACCATGTTGGCAGTTCAAGCCCACCAGCTGCTCCTTGGAAACCCTCAATAGGGTCTCCGTGAGCCCAAATTGACTCGACGAGACTTCACAGCAACAGCACAGTAGCCTTGGTACCCAGACCTTCCCATGCCACAGGCGTGTAGGATGGAGTGTTCACCGCTCCTGGCACCTCGGGTGAGGCATGCATTGAGACCATGCTATTGTTTGGTTAGGAGTCCAGCGCTATCTATAAAATTCGACTCCACAAAAAGAACAATGTGCAACTGTGGTATTGTAGTCAGCCAGGTTTTTTTTCATGGACCGAGGAGACCTGACTTTTCCTGGGACTCACACACATTTCCAGTTGTGGTTCAGCTGTGCAGAGGAAGGAGGAACAACTGCTAAGAGTGATGTCATGCCCTAATGAAAGCTTCTCTCTCTCTCTCCCTTTGGCTTGGCCATTCCCAGTCATTTGAACTCCTCTCCTGTCTTCACAGAGTCTGTCGGTGAGGTTTTTGGCATCCGAGTTGTGAGCATCAATGCCACAAGCATGAACCTGACCTGGGAGATCAGGAGCCCTGTGTCGTTCCCCTTGTTCATCTACAGAATACAAGTCGTCGGGGAGAACAGCTCCTTTAGTCACACGGCCTTGGAGCCCCATGTGGTCATCTCTGGACTCACATCGAGCACCCTATACAACATCACCGTGCATCCTATACAAAGTGGTAACGCTGAAGGCACGCCCGGCTTTCTCCAAGTGTATACTCGTGAGTTCACTCCTTCTCCTGAACCATTCTTGTCTGCCTGCTATGGGTAGGCCCAGTTACACAGATAAATAAGCGCTGTTCCCTGACCCAAGTGATGCGCAGCTGAGTGGGTAAGTCCACGGCGGCTCTTATTCCAGGATGTGTGATGTCATACTGGTCACTGTTGTTGACGCTGCCCATGCACAGGGCTTTGTGCACTGCCTCACTCAGTGCCTGCAGCATTCTTGTGCTTGGTTGGCACTTAGGTTATGCATGAGAAAGCCAAAGTGAAAGAGGTAGCGTGGGCCACTCCTGGAAAAGGAGAAGGGTGGGATTAGACCTCTGGTCTGACTCCAGCTGTTGCTTGGACTATCCATTGTAGTATGGTGGAGACCTAGAGAACTCTACACTGAGACAAAAGGAACCTGGATATCCGTGGCCTTTTGTCTCCTGGATGCTGACATAATATCACAGCTATATTTCACCCTTTGTCTGCTTAAATGTGCCCTTCAAAATAGGATGACAGGCAGCAAATAAGAAGCTTTCTGTTCCCCCAAAATGGTTTAAAACGAACAATCATGAAATACCAGTGGTATGGTTGTTGTTGTTAAGTGACGTGGAGTCGGTTCCAACTCATAGCGACCCTGTTATAGGGTTCCCGAGGAGTGGCTGGTGAGCTTGAACTGCCAACCTTGTGTTTCAAACCGACTTTGCAGTCCAGTGCTTTATCCCACAGCGCCACACCAGGACTTCAACAGTACAATGGTGGTGGTGGTGGTGGTGATGTGTTGTGGAGTCGGTTCTGACTCATAACGACCCTGTATAGTATTTCCGAGGCTGTAAATCTTTATGGGAGCAGAAAGCCTCATTTTTCTCCCATGAAATACCTGGTAGTTTTGAACTGCTGACTTGAGGTTAGCATCCTGACTTGGAACCATTTTGCTACCAGAGCTCCTTCAATAGTGTGGTAGACTAATGAGTGGTATTAGAGATCAGCCATGCATTTCTTCAGCACTGTGCCAGGAACCTTGTATGTATTGCAAAGCCCTTCATGGTAAGTATTAGGATTCCCTTTTGGTAGATGAGAAAACTATAGGCCAGCATGACTGAACAATATACCCAAGGCCAGAGCCAGTGGCAGAACAATGTCTTCCTGGGAGCCAGAGCTTGTCCCACAAGAAGACTCAAGAGTGTTTCTTCCCAGCATGTGCATCGTCACCTTCTTGCATATATCTTCTGAATTAACTCTTTGGAAAAATGGACTCTGTTTTCACTGCTTCACCATTTACTTTTTTTTTTTTTAAATTTAAGATTTTTATTGTGGATTGAGTGAAGTTTACAGGGCACATCATCAGTTTCACATTCAACAATTCATATAACTTGATTATAATCCCCTCCATATACCATCA